GTTGGCAGAGATGTGCCCGCTGGTCTGGGCCACAGGCGTTACACGTGAAAACACACCGATGCCTCGGGACCATTTACACCTCAAATATGGGACAGGAAATCACTCAGACTGTTTGCAGAGTGGCTAACCTGGTTATTATGGAGGGCTGATGCCAAATCTCATAGTTGGTGGTTGCTGGGGATTAGCTCACCGAGTCTCCATCCACCCCCTCAATCTTTGCACTCCCCCTACTTCTTCTCCAATCACTGTGATTAGCACTAATTGTCAAATGAATGGTTATTACTTAATGACTTTTAAGTCAGATTTCTCCAGGCAATTGAGCAGTTGGAGAAACATGTTTCAGAATAAATGTATTTTTTTAACAGCCATGCTGTCTTGTGTTACATTCCCACTGATGTTTCTCTCTGGAGGAGAAACCTGGATATAGGAAGTTTAAAAATTAATATACAGCAATCCTTAAAAATGTTTTCACTTCTTTAAAGAGAGTGGACCAAGCCTCTGAGTATGCTGTCTGTGAAGCTTTTTCCCTTCAAAAGTCAAGATATCCACAGGGGCCTTGTCATGGTCCTGTGACAAGTTTGGAAACCATGGAACAGCTGCAAGATCATCATGAGGCCTGTGAGGAAGGTGAGATGAAATAACTGCTTGCCACAAGCTGCCGGAAACGAACTGTTCTTGATCCAGCATTGTGATCCTGGTCTGAACAGGCTCTTGCAAAGCTTGAGACCATAAGAGACGGTTCACAGTAAGATGTCTTTCATCTAATGGAGAAAAGCATAAGAAAAATCAATTGCTGGAGTTCAAGTTAGATCTTAATTAGCATACCTAAGAGAAGGATAAACTCTCTATCTCCTGGAGATTTCAAGACAAGACAGGGATGAATATTCCCATTGAAGACATACTGTATGGTCAAATGCAAGTTAGTGGGCTATAGAAAAACAGATGAAACTACCTGACATATCTCTGATAGCATGCCAGATGTGAAAATGGAGTTGTTCTGTGTAACTTTCACATCTACAGAAGCTTACATGGCTTTGCTTTGATTCCTGTGCAAATTTTTGCTCACTAATTAGCTAACTAAATATTCCCCTTGTAATGCCTGCAGCCACAAGTGCTTACTGAAATTTAAAAATAAAACTGCAGTGCATTTGAAAAAATAAAAGGGAGAGAAATTACCTCCCACCAGTGCTAGAAGTACACTGTGGTACAAAAAGCTGATAGGAGACAGGATTTTAAAAAATGAGTTAGCTGTTCTTTTAAGACTTGCAGAATGGAATAAAGATGCTCAAAGAGCATCCACTTCAATACAGGAAGTCAGCTTTTTCACTTGTAATCATCAAGGGCTCAACTAATAGCATGCAATACACCTATCTGCTTACAGTGCATTGTCTGAATGCATTATACAGCATAGTGGCTCAAAAGGAGCCATCTTTGCAGTTGGTGGAAAAAGTTGCTTGCTTTCCTCACGTTTCTTATTTTTGTTTGCCCTTCTCTGTTCAGCTTTTCCTTTTTATAGCTACCGATCCCTCAGGATTGTTCCTAGCTCAGCTGAAAGCCTTTTATCTGGAATCCATTATTAGAATACTTAGTGGTATTAACTACACATAGTCCACTTTGCAAAGAAAGGTATCAATAAGAGAAGTGGCAGAACTCTTTTACTCTGGTTATGAGGCGCTCGTATTTCCCAGTCAAAAAAGTAACCCTTCCCCAAAGTGATAAGCTGTTTTTCTCTCTTCTTTCTGTTATCAGATATATTTCCTTGTTCCTGAGCTGGCCTGACAGATTATGAAAGAAAACAAAAGTGATTTGAGAGACAACAAACATTAGATTTACATTTTCTTCAAAAAACCCGCCCCTTTTTAAGGAAGTTTTAAAAAGGCTTTATTGCTTTAGAAATACCGAGACTTAATGGGAGCATCTTTGTTTTGTGTTAGAACTGGGGATTCGGAGCAGGTGCTTCCTCTTGTGTGGGCTGTGTGCCTCTACACGGGATGACTTGCACCACATTGTGCTTCAGGAACAGCTTGGCCACCCATGCAGTGAGGCCAGGTGGTTTGCTGAGGCAACAGCCACGCTGGCTGTCCTTGCTTTTGAGTAGGAGCTCCGAGAAGGGAATTTCTGGTTTTCCACAGAAGACTGGAGATGCAAATGAAGTCCACAGAGGGACACTGTACCCAGTTGTTCATTAGGTATTGGTGAGCTCTCCAAGGAGTACCCCGAATCCATCATAGGTGCATTCCTTTGAGCTGCAGTCCTGATTTTGAGTACAGGTAATCCCTGGTGAAGCTTGCTATCTGACACATTTGTAATCTAGACTCACTAGTTTCTCCTCAAGCTGTGGTGCTTGCAAAGGTTAACATGTATACACGAAGCAAACATTTGTCCAAATAGTGGTTCTTTTTGTATTTAACATACAACCACCTTGGCTGTACATGTAGAAAATACCTACGTGTGTGCAAATGCAGTGGTAAAACATATGAAAACTGAGTTATGAATTAGTTCATGTGAATTCCATCTCCTTGATAAATGCTATAATAATCACACAGGTGATTAAACGTCTATTGAATCTTGTAGGAAAGATGAAGTGGAGGAGAATTCATTTGTGATGTGTGATAGGGAGATAGTTTGCCACCTTCTCTTCCTGTTCTTTTGTAGATCAGGAAGATGAGAACAGAACTATTAGCCTTATCTATTTTCTGTTGCAGATGAGTTTTCAGTCATTTCAGACAGCCCTCCCAGCATGTGATACAGCTATCCCAGAGACACAGTCCTGATAGTTTACACTTACCCATATATTTTTTAAGCAAGTGAAGTCATCAGTCTCTTTCCTCATGATAGCTCGAGAGCTGCTCAGTAACTGGATGAAGTCCAAACTGCAACTGGAGCTGATGAACAATGGAGAAGCAGAAGTTGACTCTGTCCTCTCGGAAAGGCCTTCTGCAGCCCCTCTGAAGTGTGAGCGGTTTGATGGTGAGAGCACAACGAAGCAGCTTCTGGCTTCCTTTCTGAGGATGTGCTGGGGAAGGGAGCTGGGCCTCACGGCTTGTCAGACTGAGAGATCTGCTTTGGATGCTTTGAGGCCAGGAGAGTATGCTCAGTAAAAACAAGATTAGAGGTGACGATTTTTCTCTGCCAGCTCTGACAGCAGCTTGCTGTAGAGCTGCGCAAATGCACCTTATAAACATTCAATGTCTCTCTTTGTAAAAGATAAATTTTATTCCTTTTGGGTATGGGTGTTCTTGAGGCCTGTCAAAATTATACAGCCCTTTGAGATGCTCAGAGGAAAGGCAGTAAAAAATGGACAAAATGTTGTTACTGCTCTAGTGTATTCAATGGGAGACTGATTAAGACTCTTTGGGGATAAATGGAGTGCAGTCAGTGTGTCCGCTTTCATCAGAAATGCATTCATAGCCTTGGAAAGTGATCCCTTTAATCACGTTAGGCTTTGTGATCTGAGACAGAGAGGTTTATTCATTTCTCACTAGCCCAAGATAATCTGAATTCCTCATTTCAGACTTGTACAGCTATCTGGAACATGAATTGGAAAGTTCTTCTGTGCAAGAATACCTACAGCATCTTTTGCAGATTGAAGTTGTGGACTGTGGGACAGTGGAAGACCTTAGACTTGACATCAAAGAGAAACAAAATCTTTCAGATCCACGAATAATCATGGAGCTTAGACACAAGCAGGTGAGCAGGCAAGGCAACACAGTTAAAGAGAATAAGATTTAGGATTATAGGATTAGAGTAAATGCTCAGTGATACTTCCTCAGTATTCTCTCCCAACCTGCAATCTCCTCTGACTTGGAGGCAAATACCCAAGGATACTCTTCCACAGTTTAGCTGAAACATTACCATGCACATTAGCTATTCACAGTAGCTTGCGCAGTCAACTTTCACTGCATCTGTTCAGGTTTTCCTGCTTTCCAAAGACTGACAGGAAAAGCTGCCATGGCAGTCAGTCAGAGTTCACTTGCATCAAGTAATACCAGTTTAACCTCACTCTTGAATGGAGTGTTTTTGCTGGTCTGAGAGCAGAACCAGTCCAGTCAGTGCCAGCTATGGATACGGTTGCTTGCTTCATGTGAAAGGTAGATTGTGACCCACGCTGTCAGTGTACAATGGACCTCAGATCTTTCAGCCTTTGGCATCTGCTTCGACTTTTACCAATTTCCTCCTACTCAGGTGAAAGAAAACCGAATGAGGCGTCAGAAGGCTTTAGAGCTTCAGAGACAAGAAAAGTCCCTGAAGAAATCAATTCTGTCTAAGGCCAAGCTCCAAGCACAAGAGGAGGAGAGAAGGAAGGCCCTGAAGGCCAAGAAGGAGGAGGAGGAGATCCGGAAGGAAATGGTGAAGCTGCGAAAGGAAATGGCTGAGAAAAAGCGCACCATGGCAGAAGCACGGAGAAGGTAAGAGGGAGAAGGGGGCATGGAAAGAACAATATGAAGAACCCTTCTTTCATCAGCAACCTTTGCTCAGTATAAGAGAAGTGGTGATCCCAAAGGAAACATGCTATTGCTCTGCCTGAACTCTCCCCAAACCTTTTATTCCTTTGTTACCAACAGCACTGGCAGAGTTTATCAGTAGTCAAAGCAGGGAAGGTAGGAAATAGGCTAAAGACACAGTTAGCCTCCCCCCTGTCATTACCAGTATGTACACTGAATCACAAAGTAGGAGCGTGTTTGCCCCACTGTGCATTCTCTCCATCAACTCTGTGGCCACATCCAGCCTTGTTAGTGTCTAATGCAGCATGAAAGACAGTACACACATAAAAAAATTAAAAAAAACAGTCTGTGTTGAAAGTCTAGCACTTACAATGCTTCCTTTGCTATGAAAGAATAAAGAGCATTCTTGGCGGAGAATTCTGCAGAAACATAGGTTTTGCTTCTGATGAGTTTGGATTGTCACAGAGATGTGACTTGTAGAGATGCCATTTATTTACTTTGGCAGCCCTGAGATTCTGAATCTTCTCATGCAAGTACTTTACTGAAGTCTTACTATTTTTTACTGCCTGCTATATTTTGGAAATGCGCCTCTGGGCGCCTCTGGGATCCCAAACCATGACAGAGGCTGTTTTCTAAGACCAAGTTAAACAATCAGCTCTAAACTGTAGAGGTGATTCTCTTAGGACTGGCCAAAAAAGAGAGTGAAACCTGTGCTACGGTACTTTACTCATTATATTAGATCATATGTTTGTTCACTTTCCAGGGAGGAGAAGAGACAAAGACTTCAGAAGCTGCCAGTGCAGGAGGTATCCACTACTCCGTCATCACCCGTCATCTTGAAGAAAGAAGAGCAAGGAGAGGAGAAACAGAGAAAGGCTCAGGAGCTGCTGTGCAGGATTCACACTAATAAGCAGAGAGTGAGCTACCTTCTTTATCTGAGACTGAGCTACCTGCCCTCAGCTACCATTTGCAAAACTGAAGTAAAAAGTCCTGGTTATCAGAATTTTTCTGCTCCTTCTAAGCCCTTCCCCTGATACCAGGAAAGTAGAAGAGCAGGGCAAAAAATACCTTGTAAGACTAGGAGCAAGAAATCCTGAGCCTCTGTCCCCAGTGTGTCTGTGCCTCAGGTGTACTCACTGGGAGGTTTGGCTTAGAATTGTGGAAAAGATGTGGCTCTTGGGACACCTGCAAACATAATGGCTTCTGCAATTGAGAAATAGGCAGATGTGCAGAGGAGACAGTAGAGCAAGATTTGTTTTCCTTTGAGGAAGGAAGTAAAAGGGGGGAAGTGGCACAAAAGGGCCTGAGAAGCCCTTATTGCATATATGGGAAGATATTTTATAGATTGACTTGCGAACCCTAGTGCAGGAGCTGGGAGAGGAAAGAGAAGTGCTGAGGCCTAGGATCAATTTTGAGTGGGGTCTCCATGAGCTGAAGCATGCCACCACATCCACAAGACCAGATTCCTCAAGGATCTACTCCCACGGGGTGCAGCAGGCTATTTCATGATATTGCAACAGTTCTTCTGAGGCAAAGATGCACACTTTAATAATTCCTAGCAGGAATCTCTTTCTTCTACCCTTATTATTCTGATACCATGGCCAGCTCTGGGTTAAAGGCCTAGTTGTATCAAATACTTGCAATTAAAGACCAATCCTTTTGTACTGAATAATTTCATAAGGGCAGTCTCAGCAAAGGGAATAAATTTCCTGAGGGCAGATATGAATGCCATCCATCACACAATGTTTTTAATTAATAGAGCAGCCATCATCATTCATGTCTACTTATCTACTATTTTTTTAATAGAAGAATCCCATAGCTTTTATGGTGATTCTCCGTATGGCTCACTTAATGTGTCCGTCTGCCAGATTTGAGCTTGGCTACTGTTTAGCAGTACACAACCTCGCTCCAGCACAAGCTAAGCTAAGAAGATAAGCTTGAATGAAATCACTGAACAATTTAGGGGTGGCATAATGTGGGAAGCCACAACTTAGCTGAGCTAAGCAATAGTGACACTTTGATTATTTTCCTAAAGTAGAAAGAAATAGCTAATGCATTGACAATTTGTCCTTTTTGTAAGTCTCCATTTGGAGATTTCAGTGAGCAAGAGGAATGCAATTAAAACAAGGCATTATGACAAAAGGGGAACTGCTGAGTCCTGTGAGTTGACCCACTTGGAGGATCAAAATGAACAGTGTCTGCAGTGACAGGGATAGAATTATGGGGTGGATTAGATAGCAAATTGCTGTTCTGTAGAATGTAAATCACTCCCAGAGGCAGTGACTCTAATTGCACAATAGAGGAAAGGTTTGGCTTCCTACTGGAAAGTAGGAAGGAACAAAAGTGAGCTTAGGTTGTGTCATAAATTCATGCTAGGAAGTGTCTTGATTTTAGTCTAAGTAAGAAAAAAAACAAACAAAAAACAAGTGGTCCATGGAGTCCATTTGTCAGCTGTTCTCCATAGAAGTGTTCTCACCTGTAGCATCTCAGATATTTTTCTAGATTTTGAAGCATCTTTACTGTCTCTAGAAGTTCTATGTTCTTCACCCATTTTATTCCTTTACACTTGGTAAACTGAGTGTGTTTCACTCAAAAGTACGGAGCCCCATGATGTTATCTTTCTAGTCCCTTTCTGGTTTTTGTAGGAGACCTACACATGCTCTGCATTATTTTTTTACCCTCAAGGTAATGTTGAAAGTGGGGATTCTAAAAAGAATCTCAAAAAGTCAGATAAGGGGAAGGGTGAAGACAATCAGTATTTGTGTGATAGGCTGTTTTGCTCATTGGTTTTCTGAAACTCTCCCATGCAGTGCATGCAGAAATATTTCTCTGCTTGGCTGAAAGTCGTTGTGGAGCACAGAATTAAAATGGGAAAAGCCAGAGCCCTTGCTGACTGGAAATGCCAACTGAAGGCCCTGAGAGCCTGGAGAAACTATACTTGGGCCCAAAAAGTAGAGCAGGAGGCACAGCAATTGGAAGTCCATCTCCAAGATGAAAACAGGTAGTGACCCTACACTATAGAACTCCTACTGCAGCAGTATCTGATTGGTGCAGCGATCAGGGTCTGTAAAAGAGGCTTACCCATTAGCCAGCAGAACTAAAACGGTAGCTTTTTAAAAAAAAACCTGCTACATTGCCTTCAGTCTGCCAGGGGCATTGTGGCACAGATAAAAAAGAGGACAGAGATAAACAAGTGCTTTAGCACTTCCCAACAAGCCTGTATCTTTGTAGGTATCTTTCCTGGAAATCTCACCCTAGCTTGCTCTGCACCCCAGAGAATATGAGGTGTCATATTTATTCCTGATTAATATATTTATTTCCTATTTCAGTAGTGGTATAGCAGAGATCACTTTGGGCGGTCACCTTCATTAAGGAGGCTGTTCGATGAATTCCCTATCAGCCAGGGAAAAATTTGGTCTTGCAGGTTTCTTGCAGGCTGTATGGTGAGGCATGGCTGCTTCCCCCTGCATAGCTGACAAGGGAACAGGATACCTCTTTTGCACCTATCCTACAGCCCAGGAATGACACAGGAAACTGCAGAATGTGAACTAGGGAGACTTACTTCAAAATAATGGGCATCCTTTCTGCCTTCCTACTCCTTCTCGGAGAAACACTGTACAGTTCTGGAGGGCCTATAGAGTTAAGTGACAAAAAGGCTCGTGAAGTTACGGGGGCCTCATGCCACGGCCTGGGCTGCTGTACTTGATGCAGTTGTTTCAGGCAGGCCAGGGCAGAAGTCCCCCTCTTATCATAACACAAGTGCTTTCTCATTCAGGAAAACACAACTGTCTGTGGAGCATAACCGGCGACGGCTTTTGCGCTGCTGCTTTCTGGCATGGCAGCGCTGGAGCCAAGCAGAGACAGAAAAACGAGAGCTGCAGTTAAAGAGGGAGGAGACAAAGAGAAAAATGGCACAGCTGCTAGAGGCAGTGTTGCTGAGAAAGAGTGGTCTGGACAGGCCACCGGAAGTTAACAAGGCTGGTACAGCAGAAATAAACTGTCATCAAGATTTGCAGCAAGACAAGGTAAATCCTTCCCATGTAGTTTTGTGTATTGGCATCTCAGTACTCTTGCAAAGTACTTCTGTGCAATCTGTACATTGTCCCAGAGGAAGGCTTCCTTCCCAGAATGACCTTCAAATACCTGCCTGCAACCGTTTAGAAGTCTTTAAAAATCAAAGGCAAACATGAATGACAATGGATGAATTTTAAAAATAATCTCTAATGCTGCCAGGGAACAACCCTTCACAATGAGTGTCCCACCCCCAGATCACTTTTGCTGAGAGATTAGTTACATCTTTGATGCATGCTTAGTCTTAAAAAGAAGAATGCCTGACTGCATGTCAAGAGATATTGTCATGCCAGTGCACCTCTCTGCCTTTTAAGCATGGGGGAAAAGAGTTGTCACTAGCTGCTTCAGGTTAATGCATATAACAGGGAGGTAGCAGAGATGAATCGGAGGTTGTTTTCTGAAATTATCATTTGTCAGGTCACAGCCTGCACTTCATTTCTACCATAGGAGTATCCTGATCCCAGCATGAGAACTCACACACACGTATTACAGGTCCAAGTTTTTGTTTGCTTAAATGCGAGCAAAAGTTGATTTCCCATGGTGCTTATATCATCCTAGCAAGCCTGTGTTTTTCTTCTGATGCACTGGTAAAATTTGTTCTGGAAGGATGGGACTGAATTTAGGGTTTGACTTCAGAATCAGAAAGCAGACCTTACAACTGATGCCTCTTCAGAGAAAGACCACGTATCAGAAAAGGCACAGGCTCACTCCCCACTGTGCACCAGTTTTATGGTCTCATTTACCAAAGCTGGGGAAGAGGCATGAGGAAGCAGCACCTTGTAGACTTCCATCTGAACAGCGACTGTCCAGTAGATCAGTCACGTAGGTCACTTCAATAACTGTTTTTCCCTTTATTCTCTGTCTGAGCACTAAGTAGGAACAACATGGTTTGAAAGTGAGTGTGCTAATCTGTGAGACATGAGCTAGCCCTGGAGAAATGAGCTGTCCTGAGCTGTGCTCCCTAAGAAAATAGTTGGGATTTATCCTGACAGAGCTCTTGCCTGATCAGGATTTCTTCCTCCCAGTGAAATGGCACAGAGCTCCTTAACACAGTTCTTTCCCATAGCCTCCCATTTTGTGCATAACAGGGCCTCTCTGTCCTCGCTAGGAACTGGATAAAGACTGCAGAGCTGAGATTACCCTACTTGTTAGGCATCTCGCTAGATTTGCATTAAAGAAACACTTACTATGTAGGAGGGCAGGAGAGTGCTTGGTTTTAATCAATGTCAAATTTTCCACTTTTTCCTCCCTAGCCAACTGCAACTTGCCTTACCCACAAAGAGCCTGACCAGACTAGAGACCACTCTTGTTGGGATGCTGCTGACACATCTCATTCCTCTGGAAAACCCAAATTTGCCTGGGAGAGTACTCTAAAACATGCAGCCTCGAGTGCCCAGGACCAGGCTGTGTACAGGAATGAAACAGACACTCTCCCCCAGCACCAGCCACGTGGTCCAAAGACAGCTCCTGTTCATGGAAGCCGTTTTGAGCATCGTCATGCCTTTCAGCAACATTTAATTGAGGAGCAAAGACAGCAGCTTCAGAAACAGCAAGAGCTGATCCTTGAACTGCAGGAAAATCAGAGGCTGAGCAGAGCTAAAGAAGAGGCTGCACAAGTTACAGCTGTAATCCAGCCACTTAAATCTGCTTCTCTAACCAGGGAGGAAAAACTGAAGGGGGAAAACCAATCCAGATGCAAGAATACAATCTCTTTGAGGTATATGCCCTCAGAAAAGCAGGCTTAATCAGTCAGCACATCACATTCCTACTTAAGCTGAGCCAGAGTTTGCCAAGCACACTTCAGTCATGCTAGCGCTATCTGTTCTTTCTCTCATCTGTGACTTAGGCTCAAGGGTAGTGTCAGGCTGGCCACAGTTCCCCATCCTTCTTCATTTTTGCAATGGCTCTGCACTATGTGATACACATAGTAGCAGCAGAGATTTATTTAGTTGGGGGCAGGGGAGGGGGGAAACTGTCACCCTCAGTATTTCAGAATGTGCAGGAGCCCATTGTAAGGGTGCATCATTTAATACTATTTCAAGCGGAAGAAAGGCATATCAGTGTTCAGAATAAAAATGCATCACAGTGGAGAATAGAAACTACAAGCTCTGTTTCTCAACCATATATGTAAGTCATCATTTGACCACATTAATTGGTTATTTCTTTACTCTTTCCTTTCATAGTCCAGCTGTTTCTCATGGGCCACAAAACACAAGGGCAGTGATGCAAGGCAGAAGGCCCTCCAGCCAGCTGACCTCAGCTCATCCCATACTGAAAGGTAGTGTACTAGATAGCAAAGACCATTCCAGACCACTTTTCTCAACAGCTTGCCTGGAAACTTGTCTCTTACCTCACCTCAGCCTTGCTGGTTGATGACAGTATGCAAGTAAAACTCAGAACTCTCTTTCCCAGCCTGATCAGCGCTGTGAAAGGGTGAACTGTATTCATGCACAAGTCAGCAAAAAAAAAACAACCCCAACACCTGGGCAAGCCACTCAAGTCCGTGCTTCGTACACTGTGGTAGCAGAGTCTATTGTAAACACTTGTGATTGTTTCTGGTGTGACAAGACTCAGGACAGAGGCTCTACAGGGTTTGGTTTTGTTTTTTTTTTTGCTGTCCCTTCATTGAACATCCAAATAACACTTAAACTGACTGGTTATTTTCATCTAATTTTGGCAGAGGTATTGAGATTTCAAAGGGAATTAAGTGCCTACCCAAGGTTTTGTGAGACAACAGTAGCTAGGTTAAGGAAGGAGTTTCTGATCCCTGTCTTCTGCTAGATATCTCCCCTCCTCTGCCCACACTGGAACAGCATATACACATTAGATATGCAGCACAGCCTTTTCATGCAGTAAATTAAGATCAGGTTCTGTTATATCGCTAGATCATGTTCTTTCACATCAGCTGGGAGTGGCCACAGTCTGCATGAAAGGTCTGGAATATGATCATTGTAATGTTTTAACAGTTTTTGTTTGGGATCACCAGAGCTTTTTGACACTGATAGTTGGGCATTAATAGTGGCCTTTCATCAACTGACTGTGTTCAGTTCCAATACTACCTAGTCCAAACCATCACTCACTCTGGTTTGCCTGAACTCTGCATACCTTACAAACAGCAAACATATTTTCGGAGCATTCAAGGGCATTTGTTTGAAAATCCTCCCCAAAAAAATAATCAGTGAATAAGTTATCACTCAATGATTTTTCCCTTGGCAGAGGATCCTGGGACAGCTGAGAGGAGAAAAGAATCTGAGGAAACCTGTTGTGGTCAAAACACTGTTATCAGTTGCCCCAGCCTGTGCTTCATTTGTGACTTGAGAAGTGAGCACAGGTTCTCAATTCCACTGCATGCTCTGTGTGGTCACATCAACATTGTAACACTTTTGCTGATAGCCAACAAAATCACCACATTGCAATTTCTCTCCCAAGAGAAGCATTAAGCAGTAGTTTCTTACTACTGGGACCAAGTACCTGCATGTCACTGGGGCAGGGATGCTTTTTATCATGAACTCACTCTTTAAATAAGCATTTAGAGCCTCCTGGAGACCTTGTAGCAACTGCTGCTACAGGTGCCCAGAGCCTCAGCACTCCATCAGAGAGGACAGGGACAAAAACCTCTGAACACCTCAAAGCCTCATGGCTTTGACTGTCAGCCAAGAGAATGAATCTAATTGGGGTAGTCCAGAGTCAAGTGTTTATGGTTCCTTGTTCATGACACTGCCAGCCATAAGAGGCAGCAGAAAGCAAATCACTTTGTGCTGGCATTGCCAGGTCAGTGGGTGCCTGGCAGTAGAGTGGTCATTCCTGTTCACCAAACTTTTGCCATTACGATATTGTTCATTGCCACTAAGCCTCACATCCTCTATTTCTATAGCTATGGAGGAGAGAGCAATTCAGCGAGCAGAACGGAGGAGGAAACTAGAAGAAGCCAAGCAACAAAGAAAAGAGGAAAAATTGGTAAGAGAAGTGGAAAACGAAATAATCTCTTTCACACCATTCCAGTTACAAGAAATGCTGCTTTAGCCCTAGAGTCAGGCACCAAGAAAAAGTCCTTTATTCAAAACAGGAGTTTTATAGCTTGTGAGAAAGCAGACATGTGACACACATCAAAAGCAGCAGTTATTGCTGTATTTGCATACGGTGACAGCACTAGTCTTGCTGTATCACAGGCAGACGCTTCATGTTGATGCAGTTGCAATTCTAGAAGCTGCCTCTCTCACCGCCCCCCCAACACTTCTTTCACACCTACCCCGTGACCATAACTTGTCTTTGCCAAGGATGGAGAGGGTAGAAGCGCACGCAGAGATGCATTTGATTGGACATGGCAGTGGTGGGTTTCCCCTTCCCTGCCTTTTCCATCTGGTCACGTGCAGCTTGAGGACATGCAGTCTCACCTCGTAAAAATCCTGCATCTTTCTAGCAAATCTCTGCTAAGGAGCAAATATACTGACAATGTTTGCATAGTTAATACACAAATTCTGTGATACGCATCCAGCAGAGGAGCCTTCTTAGCTTCACAGCATTAAGCTGTTTCTGAAAACACTGACAGTAAGTTGCATTAGGATTAGAAAGCTCAGAACTGAGGGCCTAAACCAACCAGCATTTCTTCCTTCTCCAAGCAAGAGAGGTGCACTCACATACGTGGGAGGCTGAAACAAGCCTTAGAGAGCACCTTAACCATAGAGTGGACAAAGCATCAGGTTAGGTTTCCTCAGCTGCAGTTGCCACAATCGTAGCGATCAGGAAGCCCAGGCAGAGTAATCATGCATTAGTGTTGGCATGGGTTTTAAGCATTTGATGTGTGCATCCAGAGCAAAAGCTTTGTGAAATGAAAGCGGAGTGGGGCTTTGCAAGGGGAGTAGATAAACATCCAGAGAGGAATATTGTCGCCAGTATAACCAGTAGTAAAACATCTTTGATCTTCAGTATTTGGGAAAAGAAATGTTTGGGTACCTGTAATGCTGCTTTCCATGTAGAAGTAAAACTTCAGAGCAGAGCCCAGGGGTTCAGAACTGACTCCAGCAATCAGATTATCAATAAATTACTTGGTTTAAATTTTTTAGGGCAAAGAAACAGATATATATATATATATATACACACACACACACATATATATATATACATATATCAGTAGCAGAAAGAACAGTCTCTCCTTCCTCTCTTCCGTAGTTTATCATCCAGCACAGATCGTGCCTAGTATATGACAAAGTCTACTTCCTTCTGAAGTTTCAGGTGGTGGTCAATACAAGAGGAATACTGGGAAAGCTTAGCAGTCTGTGTTCTCTGAAAAGGTCACATGCGCCACATTAAATTTTACCTTCCTCCATTTTCTGCATATCAAGGCCCAGCTAAAGGCTGAAGAGGAAGCACGACAGAGGAAGGAGGCTGAGGAAAAGGAAGCTCAGCAGCAAAAACGACGGGAGGAGAGAAAGCAGCAGAAGCTGGTGACCAAGCACCTCACCTGATCTCACCCCTTTAGGGATAGGGAGGAAGACCCATCACCCACTAGCAGTCAGTCAGCAGCCACCGTAATGTGAGCTGAGGGCCTTCATTAGCAGAGCAAAGCTTCACAGCACAGCACTCGCTATATAGACTCACTGCCTTCCCCCTTTCTGGCAACATTAGGGCAAGGGCTGTGGACCAGATGTGCTGTGAAGTACACGCTGTTTCCGTCTCATCGGCAGGACTAGAGGTGCCAGCTGGTGGATGGTCACTGCTGAGTTAGAGCCACACAAGCCCCTGCAGTGACAGCACATTCAGCCTGCTTTCAGACTGCTCCTTCTACCTGTATCCCCCTCCAGCATACACAATTATACCAATAACAAACACGTGATTTAAAATTAAAAAAGCCTGACAGATACATCAAGGGCAACTTTCCACCTGAAGAACAGAAACATCCTCACCTTGGAGCTAGCCTAGGAATAGTCCCACTTCATTACTGTTACTTGGAGATAAGCTGTCCTGATAACCCAAATAGCACATTTGAAATCCTACAGGAATTTGACCTACAACTACTGTTCTACTTGGATTGTTTTAGAATGTTTGACCTTCATCCCTGAGCCTTAGGCAAAAGTAGTATTGTACCCACATCCTTCCCCTACTACTTAGGCTAGATTAATTGGTAGGGTCTGTGCATAAACTCAGAATCATTTTTAGATTTTTCAATCTAGTTTTATAAACACAGAAAGTTGCCTTTCTCAAGCTCCTTGAAGCAGCCCTCCTCCCGACATTGAGGAAGGCCCATCAAAAGGAGGTTCCTGCTACCTCAGCACTTCTGGTAGCCACAGATTACATTGGCTACACTAATGCCAAACTGTAGTGCCGAGGAAAGGCCATGTACCAGATGCATGGCCAAAGGAAACATCCAGAAATACCATCATCTTCCATGAGAATTTCCAAGACAGTTTGCTCTGCTTTCTACCATAGGTTCTAGCACATGGGGTCATGCCTGGTCTGCACTGCTAAAGTGATGCAGATCCCTATTTCCTGTCAGGTCAGGACCTCCAGCTCCAGTGTGACAATCTATTGTCATTGCTTCATATTATCTTCACTCAGAGTGAATTAAAACTATTGCTCTTTGTACTGTAGAAAGAGCTGGAGAAGCAGAGGAGGCTGGAGAGAGCGCAGCAACTGCAGAAAAAGGCCAGGGACCACTATGAGAAGGTCCTGCTAAGAAAGCTGGGAATGGTGCCATGGAAAAAGCTGAGGGAGCAAGCCAAGGAAAACCTGGTGGTAAGTGCTGAGGATAAAGGAAAAGACTGGTGTCATGGGAGGAAGGGAAAAAGGATGGATGCAGCACTTAGCAGAAACCTTAATAGGCTCTTGAGGCAGATAGAAATGGAAAAAGCAAAAAGTTCCCTCTGCACATCCTGCCCTGTATTAGTTTTTTTAAAATCAGCGCATCTGACAATAATCATGAAAGGTCATCAAAAACCCACAAGGGTGGCATCCTCATTTATAGCTGATTAAACAGGAACCAAAAGGACAGAGAAAGAAATGCATTTTAATCTAATGAGAAGTAATTTTTGTTAGCCTCCGCTCGTCTGCAGTACTAGCTGCCACATGATTTTATGCCAATAACACAGTGGGAGTTAGTTTAGTATGATACAGCCAAAAAAAAAAAAAAAAAAAGTGAAGTTATATGACATGAGCCTGTATGTTCTCTTGCTCCACAGTAAAGCTAATTGGTAAGACACTGCCAAACCACTGTCATTAGAGTAGTTAAACCCAGCTCATCACTAGAGCTTTCCCTCTCTCTGGAGTTGCTGCTGGTGCAGTGGTGGCCACTGCTAGAGGCAGGACATCACAGGTGAAAAATCTACCAGTCTGTTCTAGCCTGGCCATATCTTCAGTGCAAAATAGCAAGTGGTAGCTTTCAAGACTTGACACATAAATATTGCCAATGAAATGTTTCCATGCATGACTGAACTGGCATGTTTTATCAGGGGTGGACTAATAACACTCAACCAAATCCTGAAAATTTAGCCAGAGCCCAGGCCTAGGCTGGCAAACTTACATTTAAGTCACTAGAACTGCACCTACTTACAGTACTTGACCAAATGCACAGAGGCCTCTGGCTGAGAAGAAGTAGAGAGATAGCAGCTGCTTCATAAGTCCATCCTGCTGGTCAGCACTATCGATGGGATTGGACTAAATTGTTACAGGCCATGCTCCTGCTGCATTCACACAATAGGTCACACTGAGCATCTATTTCAAAAGGATGTTCTCCAAAAGTTACACAGCCGTAGCCTGATAGACTGGTCTTGTTCCTTATGCTGACCGCTCTTTGTGGGAACCTGTCCTGTAAATTATTCCAGCCATCAGATATCTGCATTTTGGGGGCCCCAAAAAGCTAAGCAGATTTTCTAGTGTACCCATTTTTTCTGTAGTTTTCTGTTTATGTAGTCACTAGCCCAAGTAACTAGCTGCCACCTCTTCTCTCTTTACTCAGGTGGCCCAAAGGCACCACTGCTTGAGCCTGCAGAGGAAATGCCTGATGACATGGCTCCAGGATACCCAGGGGAGGCTCATGGAGAAGGTGTCTCGGGCTGAGGTCTTCTATTCTCATACATTGTTGAGATGGGGCTTCAGGAACTGGCTAAAGGTTTGCCTGCACCACTGTACCAAGCCAGCTAGCTGCTGGTGCACTTTTCCATCAGCACAGTATCACTTCACACAGCTACAGCCCAACCTTTGTCAAGTTACACAGTCTCCATATTCCAACAACATCATTCCCTTTTTTTAGAGGCCCTCTTTCAGCTCTGCACCTCCAACCAGGACATTCTTGTACACATTGCTCCTCCACCTTTGTGCTCTCTCACCCTGCTCCCTGCTGATCTTCCTCCACTCCTGTCCCCATTTCCCTTCACTGCCACAGTCTCAGTACTGCTCTGTTTCTGCTTATTGGGCAGGTGGTTGGGAGAAAAGAAGCCATTCTCATCTCTTTTTCTGTCTTCCTTCCTAGTACAAGGATTACCTCTCCACTCTGGAGGAGAGAGTGCGTACCCTCCATGCAGCCTGCCTCATGAGGAGGTACTTCTGGGCCTGGTTTGATCTGATCATGGAGGAAAAAAGTATCTTACAGGAGAAGCTGAAGATTGCTACTGAACACAGTAACAAGTAAGTATGTTCCCTTGCCAGCAGTTTTTTTTTTTACTTAGGTTTATTATATCCTATGGATTATTTTAGAGACTACTTTTGACAGGTCAATTATCTACTCCCCAAGAACATGTAAAACAGGTTCTTTACTGCTGGTATTTTGCTTCTGTGATAAGCAGAGACAACATCATTAGAGGTTTATGGTAAGAATTTTCCATGCAGCCTGGAAAAGGAAATTTAGCGGTACCCTTCACAGGACTTTTAAATCTGTTGAAAGAGAATACAGTGAAAGGGGATAAGTAGCTGAAACTTTCTAAGCTGATTAGCAGATCTGGTCATGCAGCTTCTGCTAAAAGTGCCTTAGGAAAATATTTAAGTACAATTATAGCGAGCCAAGTGATTGTGCAGGAATTACACGTTATTGTTTTATCCATAGCAGATGATTTAGTTGACAAAAATCAAAAGTTGATCAACTAGAACACCCTACTTAAGGAATCTTTCAGTTTATGTCATGTCAGTCTGACTTGGCAGTGAGAATTACTGCAGACTGCTCTACCAGTCATGACTGGAGCTGGACACACCCAGTTCACTCATAGTCCCATAACTGCATTAGCTGTGCATTTCAACAGGAAGAAAAAGCTATTGTCAAAGTTCAGCAGAAAACAGAAGCATGTTTACCTACCTCACCATGAAAGCATGTCAGCTGTGTGCAGTCATGAATAGCCTGCACCTGTGCATAGCCCAAACAGGATCTGCAGCACCTTGGAGGAAGAATTAAACTCACCTCTGATGTGGTAGAGCAAACCTGTGCTAGCTTGCCGTGCCGGTAAGATTAGAACAGTGCATGATTTAAACAAACAAGCCAGCAAACTGGAGGAACTGGGGAAGACTCAGACCCAGAAAGAGACTGGGGCATTCTGCATATGACCTCATATTAGGAGCAAAATCACCTGTTGTTCCTCATTACCTCTTCCTCTGTTGACTGGCAAAAGGCAGTTCAGACCTTGGTATAGCAAACTATTCCTTAGACAAAACTGTTGCTCCTCATTTCCCATATGAGAACCCAGGGCAAGGCACCTTTGGTGGGGTGATTAAAATCGGGTAAGAATTGGAGCTCAGCTGCCTGTGCTTCCAAACAGTTGGTCTGGGCCACACAAGGCTTCATTTTTCCTGAACAAATTGCTTTCAGAGACCCTGTTTATTCTTCAAGAAACATCTTTCATCTTCAGAGTGCTAAGCAAACACCAGCTAATGAATCCTGTCAGAGGGAGGAGAAGAATTCTTGAGGGAGAGGAATAGAGAAAGGCAATGTGTAATTTTTTCCTGCCATGATTGACATATTAATGGAGTGGTCTGCATGCAGATGTTTAACGTCGCAGCCCTGACTAGCAGCAGAAAGGACAAATCCCACAGCCATTTTAGGGGAGTTCCCCCCTCCTGCTCAAATAGAAGAAATCTTTTGATTACTTGTTATGTTATGGACACATCTGCATGTCATCCATTTGCTCTTTGTGTCCCCAATTTCTTTCAGGGGACTCATGCTGAATGCATTCAAGGCATGGAGACAGTATCCCTTACTGATGAAAAAGGAAAGGGAGAGAGAAGAAAGGAGAAACCAGCTACGCAGGAGAGTAGCTGAAATTCTTCCCAACTTCCGAACATGACAGAAGAGTCAAAGGAGACTGGGAAAGGGGACAGAAAAAAAACAATTCTGTTCAGTGCTATCTTCCTATTGACTGAAACAAATCCAAGCAGAAGTCCTATCCAGTGCAAAGGGTCTTGCAGCCAAAAGGAAGCTCCCTGGAGTCACTGATGTCACAAACTAAGCATATCTGGAAACTTACCTGACTGTTTCACTTTGCACTTCAGCGGGTGTCTTGGCTGGTGGCAGCATGGCCTAGGTAACCAAAGTCTAGCATAGGGTGTGTTTCAGGCCAACACCATTTCCACCTGCAGAGCTGCAGAACCAATGCAAGTCCTCCATCACAGGAAGCACAGAACTGAACCACATCTATTTTTCCTTAAGCAGTAACCTGGTGCTTTTCTGTTGCCAGTACTCTGTAGGGTGACACAGCTTGATCAGAGAGCAAACAGACCTGTCAGCTGACCCCTAACCACTACTGCAAATTTGGCCATCCAGGGAACAGTTTCTAGCAAACGGTGCCAGAAAAGTTTGGATGGGAGGAGGAGAAGGAAGAGCTATTTATGCAGATCATACTTGCTAACAGTCTAGATCGCAGCATCACATATGGGTAATTCAAAACCTGGATTATTTTCCATAGGACCGCCTAGTTCACAGCACTGCCCAGCTCACAAGAACGGTGCTTTGATTTTGGTGGCAAGTGGTGATTCCAAGTTTATGAGCCTCTACCTTGTCATTTAAACATTTTCCAAGCAGGTTAACTGTAGGATTTAGGGATGTATTGTGCAAGTCAGTCTGGGCCTTTTCACTTAATCCAACACTTCAAAAAAAACCCACAAAAATTCTGGAAAAAAGCAGACAGTATTTTTACATAAGCTAAAGCTGACATGATTAAAATTAAAGTTTCTTATCACTGTTTAACCTGCAGCACAGTGCAGATAGGGTAATGCCATGAAGGTACAATATGCCTTGTCTTAGCAACAGCATAAAGCAGAAATCTAGAATTCCTTCCCACTCACAAGATAGACGAAGTTCTCTCCAAAAGCATTTGGCTGTACAGAGAGCACTTGGGTAACACCAGGAAGATGTTATCCATCCATACTGTTATCTATCGTATAATATAATTTTGAAACCCTGTATATAAAGTTTCCAATAAATCCAAATCTGAAATGAACACAAGTGAGTTGTTGGTGAAAATTGTGTCAGAAGCCAACCGAGTGGCACTAGGCAGAAGCGCAGCATCAGGGACCTACACCAGCAGGAAACACAGCAGATAAAGTGGCACAGGGCAGGTCAGGTGCCCAAGCATAGCAACAGGCTCCAGAGCTTTATCACAGACAGTTTATCCATGCAGAGAGCTCACAGGGATGTGGTCAGAGAGCCTCCCTGCCCACACAAGCCAGGCTGTCAAGCAGACTCTTTGGTGCAGGTCTGAAGACAACTGCCACTCCCAGGTTACCTGCTACAGCCATTCTCTACAACACGTTTACCATCTCCCAAAGGCTGCCAACAGACCTGACCACCAGCAGGTCAGATGAGCGCATTATCCAAGCGCAGGGAGCCGAAGGTGCCTGCATGGAGTGTGGGCGAGTACAGACCATCTGGCTGCATTAAAAGGCAGATTGTGAGAGGAAACGACAAGCTGAGCGAGGACTGAATAACTTGTCTTG